CTGGCTGCATCTCGGCGCCAGGCGAGGGGTCCCTGTATAACGAGCTGCTCCACCCCAGAGGCAGTTGCATCTCAGCACCTGGCCAGGGGGTCCCTGTAAAACCAGCCCCTGTGCCCCACCCCAGAGCTGGCTGCATCTCGGTGCCAGGACAGGGGTCCCTGTACAGCCAACTGTCCTGCCCCAGAGCTGGCTGCATCTCAGCGCCGGGTGAGGGGTCCCCATACAGCCAACCGCCCCTCCCCAGAGCTGGCTGCATCTCAGCACTGGGACAGGGTCCCTTTATAACCCGTGCCCCACCCCAGAGGCAGCTGCATCTCAGCACCTGGCCAGGGGGTCCCTGTATAACCAGCCCCTGTGCCCCGCCCCAGAGCTGGCTGCATCTCGGCGCTCGGACAGGGGTCCCTGGGTAACCAGCCCCCGCGCCCCGCCCCAGAGCTGGGCGCGTCTGGGCGGGCTGGGGTCTCTCTCATGCCCCCTGTCCCCGCAGACCCTGGGCCTGGGCGAGGAATGGCGCGGGGGGGATGTGGCCCGCACGGTGGGGGGCGGGCAGAAGGTGCGCTGGCTGAAGGAGGAGATGGCGAAACACGCGGAGCAGGAGGAGCTCGTCGTCATGTTTGTCGACAGGTACGGGGGGGGCGGGTGCCCTGCTTTCCCTGACGTCTGGGGGTCCCCAGCTCCGGGGAGCAGTGGGCGGCACTGTTCGGGGGGCCAGTCTGGGCTGGGAGGGGGATTTTGGGGGTGCACTGGTGGGATGACGCTCCCCAGGGCAACCTGCAATTCCCAGCCCAGCTCCTCCTGACGGAGGGGGACCCCCCACGCTTACCTGTCTCTGTGACGTGTGGGACACCCCCCATCCCCCCCCAGGGGAGGACACAGCTCCCCCGTGGAGGAAACCCACTGGCTGCCTTGGGATGCCGGGCCCTACCTTGTCACCCCCACACACCGCCCCCCCCCCCCAAACTTCCAGCCAAGCCCCATAGCCTTGGCGGGGACCGTGGTGGCCGGGGGACCTGGGCTGGCGATGCAGAGGTCGCCCGGCCCCCTTTGGGGCAGGAGGATGGAGAGAGCAGGCCCGGGGGGTCGCTGTGATGTGTATGCCCCCCCCCCCGTTACGACGTGCTGCTGGCCGGCGGCCCCCCGGGGCTGCTGGGGGAGTTCCCGGGCCTCGGCCGCCCCGGGTCGTGTCCTCGGCCGAGGGCTTCTGCGGGCCCGAGTGGGGCCTGGCCGGGCGCTACCCCCCCGTCAGCACCGGCAAGCGCTTCCTCAACTCCGGCGGTGAGTGCCCGGGCTGGGGGAAGGATGGGGCAGAGAGGTCGGGGGACAGGGGAGGGGTGTTCAGGGAGGATGGGGTGGGGGACAGGGGAGGGGATGTAGGGGGTAGATGGGGTTAGGGGGGACAGGGCAGAGGGGCATGGGAGGGGGATGGGAAGGTGTGAAGTGGTTTGGGGGGGCCGGGAGGAGTGAGGGGACACTGCGGGTACCTGGTGGTACGGGTGGGCGTGCCCGGGGCAGGGTGTTACAGGTATACGGGGGCAGGGGGAGGGCATGGGTCCCTGGTGGGGGGGAAGGGGGGGTGTAGTGTCCGGGGGGGCAGCCCCCCAGGAGGTAGGGGCCTGGCGGGGGGTACCTGACCTCTCCGCCTTCCCCCCAGGTTTCATCGGCTTCGCCCCGGCCATCCACGGCGTGGTCCAGCTCTGGAAATACCAGGACGATGACGACGACCAGCTGTTCTACACCCGCATCTACCTGGACCCCGGCCTGCGGGTGGGTCCCCGCCCCCCTGCCCCGCTGCCCCCGGTGTCCCCCACCTCCCATCAGCTGGCACCCCAAGCCCTGGGGGACCCTGTTTCCTCCTTTGCCTTTTGGCATCAAACATTTTTTATTTTTTGGTGTGGGGGGGGTGTGGGGTGGGCAGGGACTTGTTCAGCCACCTCGCACCTGGAAACAAAGGACCCACTTGGGCCAAACACGACCCACATCTCTGGGCTGACAACCAGTGAGAATCGGGCAATAGCTTGGTTGCAAATTGGGGTGCGGCGGGGGGGAATTAGGGGAAAAACTTGTCTAAACCCCTCCAGAATCCCGTGGCTCTAAATGACCAGACCCTACGGAAAACTTTGGGGAACATTTTGCACTGGAAGGCCAAGGTCTGGTGCATGGCTCTGGCGCAAAACGTGCAAATCCCGGAGTTGTGCGAACCTCAGCCAGAGCTGGCAGCGCATTAAAGGGTCTTAGGATGGGGGGGTGAAAGCGAGCTGTGACGCCTGGCCGGATCTGGCAGAGAAGCCCCCAACATGGCATCAGAAGTCTGCGGCGAATGGAAAGTCAGCGGCGAACGGCTTGCTGGATCTTGCCCCTCTCCAGGGCCCCAGAGGCCTTTGGCGTCGACACACCTTCTCAACGGACGGACAGAAGCCGTATTTTGCCAGATTTCGCCTTGCAAACAAGCGGCGCCGAAGCACCGGAGTGCTGCAGGTCTCGGCTTTCATTTACGAAGCATTTCATGACATCCTTGGACTTTACTGCAGAGGGTGACTAAGATCGGTGGGGAGGATCTGGTTGCGTTTATACCACTCCGGGGGTGTTGTCAGAATTCAGCTCAGCCTCTTTTCGTGGGATCCCCGTTGTTAAGGGCCTGGGCTGGGACCCCGTGGAGTAGGGTGGGCCCAGGTCCCCCTATCCCCCGCAGCCGCCCCACTGTAAAAGCCCTGGGGCGCGCGGAGAGACCACCCAGACTACAAGGGACCAATTCCAGCCGGTGTGCCCAAGGGTGCGGAAGACCCCCATAGCCTTTCGGATGGCCGTCGCAAGGATCAAAGACCAACGACCGGCTCGGCCTGGGGAGAGAAGAGGGAGACCGTGCCGGAGGGTCTGGTGACATTGGGCTTTTGAGGACAAATCTATGCGCAGGGACCTGGGAAGAGGGACCCAAGAAGAGCTGCCGATGGGCGCAAGGGCAGAGGGCACCGTGGTCGGGGCAGTGGGGATGGTTTGTCCGGGGAGATAGAAATACCCCACTTGAAAGACGCGGCGTCACCGAGAAACCCAGGTGCGCTTTTCCTCGTGCCGCTGCTCCAGCGCCGGAGACGGACGACGGGCCGCGACTGACCAAGCAGTGACCATTGGAGGGATGAGACCCGGGGGGAGCCGGGCCGGGAGCCATATTCGCTTGTGCAACCATTAGGTGGCGCTGGCAGGGCAGGGGGCGAAAGAGCCTGATGCTGAACACGGCGGGGGTGGGAAGGAACGACTCGGCCAGCCCAGGTCGGGGGCGGGGCGGGGCAAGTTTGGGCTGGAAACGAGGCTATCGCGGAAAGGTTCTGGTCCAAATCCCACCACCACCACCACCAAATTTGGACAGGAATTTGCCACAAACTGGAGATTGAGGGGCACCAGCTGAAGTTTAGAGCAGGGGGGTGGGGGGGACCTGGGATCCAGGACTCCTGGGTTCTCTCCCCGGCTCTGGGAGGGGACGGGGGGCTGGTGGGTTAGAGCAGGAGGGGCTGGGAGCCAGGACTCCTGGGTTCTGTGATGGGGTCATGGGATTGGCTCTGGGATGCGGCTGACTCTGGGGAGGGGCGGCTGAGCTCCAGGCGCCCAATGGAGAAGACCAAAGAAGGGGAAGTTGGGGGATCGGCCCCTGCTCATTGCTGGTTTGGGGGTGCGCAGCAGGGAGACACCCCCACAGCCCCGACACACCCACACAATCTCCACCGGCTCTTTGCAGAGGACCCTGGGTCCCACTGGGGGGCGGTCGGGTGGGGGGTTCAGGGCCGGGAGGACATTTGAGGGAGATATTCCCCCCCAAAGGGAATCCTGTCCCCAGTAACCCCCCCACCCATTAAATCATTTCAGCTCCTGTCGGGATTCTGGGAGCCCTCCCTCGGGGCTCTTGGCCCCAGGTCCCCGCCTCCATGGGGGGCACTGCGGGGGGATAGGCGGGGTGCTGGGGGGCAGGGGGAGGGGTGGGGGGATCGGAGGCAGGGAAGGGGGTTGGATGCTGGGGGGCAGCAGTGGAGGGAAGGGATCTCAGGGGATGTGGAATGGCACAGGGGGGTGATGGGGGCAGTCTCTGGGCACAGATCCCTCCCCGCTCTGACCCCCCCTCTGCCCCCTGCAGGAGAAGTTTGGGCTGGCGCTTGACCACAAGTCGAAAATCTTCCAGAACCTCAATGGGGCCATTGGTGAGAGATGGGGGGGCACCCCATAACCTGGTGGGTCAGGACGCCTGGGTCCTATCCCAGCTCCGGAGGGAGGGGGCAGGACTTCTGGGTTCTCTCCCCGGCTCTGGGAGGGAGTGGGGGCTGGTGGTTAGAGCAGGGGGGCTGGGAGCCAGGACTCCTGGGTTCTCTCCCCGGCTCTGGGAGGGGGGTGGGGGCCAGGACTCCTGGGTTCTCTCCCCGGCTCTGGGAGCGGGGTGGGGGCTGGTGGTTAGAGCAGGGGGGCTGGGAGCCAGGACTCCTGGGTTCTCTCCCCAGCTCTGGGTGGGGGCTGGGTGGCTGGGACCCCACGTCTCTCTCTCTCTCTCTCTCTCAGACGAGGTGGTGCTGAAGTTCGAGAGGAGCCGGGTCCGTGCTCGGAACGTGGCCTACGACACCCTCCCTGTCATCATCCACGGCAACGGGCCCACCAAGGTACCCCTAAGATCCCCCCCGAGATCCCCCCGGGACCCCCACAGCCCCCTCCTCCCCCAGGTCCCCCCGAGATCCCCCCTGGGCCCCCGACACCCCCTCCTCCCCCGAGATTCCCCCCGGGACCCCCAGCCCCTCTCCTCCCGCAGGTCCCCCCAGGAACCCCCCTGCCCCCATCTGACTTCCTCCCCCATCTCTCAGGGTGCGCGTAGCTGGGGGCTCCCCTGGCAGGTGCTCCCAACACCCAGAAACCCGCCCCCCATCCTTGCAGCTGTGGGGAGGGGGGTCTGTTGGGGTGGGGGCTGTAGGAGGGCGGGGGCTGGAGGGCAGCAGGAGAGGGCTGGGGGGCGGAGGTTGGGGGACAGATAGGGGGCCGGGTGTGGCGGGATGGTGGGGGCCGAGGTTGGGGGACAGATAGGGGGCCGGCTGTGGTGGGATGGGGGGGGCTGAGGTTGGGGGGCAGATAGGGGCCGGCTGTGGTGGCAGGGGGCTGGAGGGCAGCAGGAGAGGGCTGGCTGTGGCGGGATGGGGGGGCCCGTATCTCACCCCTTCCCCCCCCAGCTGCAGCTCAACTACCTGGGGAACTACATCCCGAACCGCTGGACCTACGAGGGGGGCTGCGGGGGCTGCGACCAGGGGCTGCTCGACCTGTCGGGGACACCGGTGAGTGGGGTGCCGGACCCCAAAGCCGAGCCCCGGGAGGGTGGGGGCCGGAGGGGCTCTGAGGTGGGGGGGCCATGCTGCACAGTTGGGGGTGGTGGGGAAGTGGGGGGGCAGGTTTTGGGGGAGTCTGGGGGATGGGATTGGGGGTCCTGAGTGGGGGTATCTGGAATTGGGGGATATCTGAGGGGCAGGTTTCTGGGGGTGGGGGGGGTCTGGAATTGGGGGGTCTGGGGTGCGTTTGGTGGTCCTGAGTTTGGGGGTGTCTGGGGGCAGAGGTGGGTTTAGGAGTGACCCTGTCTCTCCCCAGGAGGGGGTGCACAGCGTCGCTGGGTTTGGGGTTACAGGGAGTGGCTGGTTTTGGGGGGCTGGGAGTGGCTGGGTTTGGGGGGCTGGGTTTGAGGGTGCAGGGTGTGGCTGGGCTTGGGGGCTGGCAGGGGCTGGGTTCGGGGGTACAGGGTGTGGCTGGTTTTGGGGGGCTGGGTGTGGCTGGGTTTGGGGGTACAGGTGTGGCTGGGTTTGGGGGGCTGGCAGTGGCTGGGGGTACAGGGAGTGGCTGGGTTTGGGGGGCTGGCAGTGGCTGGGTTTGGGAGGGCAGGGTGTGGCTGGGTTGGGGGAGCAGGCAGTGGCTGGTTATGGGGATGCCTGACCCCCGTCTCTCCCCAGGAGGAGGCGCTGCCCCGGGTGCTGGTGGGGGTGTTTGTGGAGCAGCCGACCCCCTTCCTGCCCCAGTTCCTGCAACGCCTGCTGGGCTGGGCCTATCCCTACGCCCGCCTCAGCCTCTTCCTGCACAACCGCGTGAGTGACCCCGCGACCCCCCCTGCGGCCCCTGTCTGCCCCGCCTCCCCCTGTGACCCACAGTGACCCCGCCACCCCCACGACCCACGGTGACCCCACCACCCCGTGACCTCCATCTGCCCCCGTGACCCCCAGCTGCCCCCACAACCCTCCACGATCCCCAGCTGCCCCATGACCCCTGGCTGCCCCCGCAACTGCTGGCTGCTGCCCACGACCCCCATTCCCTGGACACCTCCAGGTCCCCCCAGGTACCCCCATCACCAGCATTCACCCCCAGGAACCCCCAGATCCCCCCCAGGGAACCCAAGATCCTCCCATGACCCCCAGCAGCCCCCACGACCCCCAGGCCCTCCCAGATCCCCCCCATCCCCAGCACTTGCCCCCCCATCCCCAGCACTGACCCCAGATCTACTCAGAGACTCTCCCACCCCAACACTGCCCCCCGGCAACCCCTAGATCCTCTCTCATCCCCCCACCCCCCAGCACCGACCCCCTGGAGACCCCCCCATCCCCCAGCACTGACCCCTCAGGGATCCCTAGAGTCCCCCCCCCACAGGGACCCCCCATCCCATGCAGGGGGGGTCCCCGGCACTCCCCGGCTGACCCCTGCCCCTCCCCCCCAGGAGGTGTTTCACGAGCCCCACGTGCAGGGGGCCTGGGAGCAGCTGCGCGGGGCCTTCGCCAGCGTCAGGCTGGTGGGGCCGGAGGAGGAGCTGAGCCAGGGCGAGGCCCGGGACATGGCCATGTGAGTGGGCGGCGCTTGGGGAATGGGGCGGGGCCATGTCAGAGGAAGTGGGCGGGGCAATGGGACTGTGGGTGGGCCCATGGGAATGGGGGCAGGGCCCTGGGAATGGGGTGGGGGCTACAGGAGAGGGATTAGGATGGGTGGAGTTGTGGGGATGGGGGCGGGGCTGTGGGAGGAGTGGGCGGGGCTGAGCGGTGGGGGGCAGGACCGAGGAGTGTAGGGGGCATGGAGAAGTGGGGGGTTGGAGATGGGCACGGAGGAAGGCTGGGGGGGCCGTGGGGGTCAGCATGTGGGGCTGGGGGAGGAACTGGGTTCATGGTGCTTGTCTGATGCCCCCCCCTTTCCCCGCCGTGTGCCCCCCAGGGACATCTGCCGGCAGGACCCCGACTGCGACTTTTACTTCAGCCTGGACGCCGACGTCGCCCTGACCAACCCGGGGACCCTGCGCGCCCTGATCCGCCAGAACCAGTACAGCCCCC